GACTAGCAAAGACTCTTCGGGTCATGCATAATCACACTTACTTATGCACAAAATAAATCTAAGTGCTCATTTCACTGCGCGTGCTTGCTTAAACCACCAAGAAGAGGTGAGGAAAATGGCATTCTGCGCGCAAGACGCCGACTGTTTTCCCAACAATAGCCTCGACGTGGGTGAGCTGACGTCACTGTTTTTATGCGCCCGTACCGCTGTACCGCGGCACCGCTGCACGGTTGCTTGGAGATTGGGGAAACTGTCAACGACATCGGAGAATTTCAACAACATTGGAGGTATTTTCAAAATACCTTTTATAAGACAACGCGCAGTGAAATGGGAGGAACTAGAGTTTATTTTGCCATAAGGTAGTATGATTATGCATGACACGAAGTATTTGCTAGTCTAGTACTGGAGAAATTAGCGTTTGGATGCGCATTGTGAGCCTTTAAGACCGAGATAGGCGACATGATTCTGATTTGAATCGTGACCATATATGTTTAGTACACGTATTCGATTTATGGAACTTATTAGTTGTTGATTAATGTGATGGATGTATTTTCCATTGGAATATTTTTCTTCGATGCGTTGGAAATTTTAAAGAAAAATCTCTCCGTCTGTCTGTCTGCTTGTCTGTTGTCTGTCTTTTAATCTATCTCTGTCTCTTCGCCTCTCTTCGCCTCTCACGCACGCTCTCTGATAAGTCACTAAACATCAGTCACTCGCTCATTCCTGCGTGTACGCGTGTTTCAGTTTGACTTGCTGTACGTCGAGGTGCTGTATACTATCAAGCACAAGCTCGGTACTACCGCCGGGGAACACTCCCCTTACGTCGACGACCTCTACCTGTACGCACGGGAGGCGTTCGGTCTCACGCACGAGGAGCATTCCCGGCTCCTCTCACGCGCCAGCGAGGAGAAGGTGAGCAGAGGTAGTCGCGACAACACTGGGGAGAGCGGAAAGAAGGGGCATCGCGCCATTTTCGTACAAGAATCAATACAAGGGAACGAGTAAACATGCGCGAAACCGTCATCTGTGAGCATTTGAAGCGTCCACTGTTCATATATCTCATTTCACTTGGTTTACTCCTCCAACAATCTAGTGCTCATTAGAGGCCACAAATTGCCGTCTGAAGCACTAAAATGCGCGGTTGGACGCCACTTTGGGGGAGCTTCCAACGTTTCCACATACTCCCCTAGTTTTTGCCCTTCCCCCGTTGGCTCGGGAAGCACGGCAGATGATAAACTCGTGTTCAGTCGCGTCCGGTGGTCGTTGAGAATTTCGAGGAAAATTCCAGATTTCCGGATAAACAATATTTAATGGAAATATCTCAAAATCACTGCTTATAAACGCACAATCTGAAAAAATATAGCGATATATAGGCTCGCCTAATAGCGATTATTTTACTATAATTACATCAACTTGAAAAACTAAGAATTTATGCTGTCTTGGCAAAGAAAATTAGCATTAACACGTCGTAATACTTTGGCATATTTGATTATAGCCACACTGCAAATAGCGCCTTCAAAACAAGTGCACCTAATTCAAGCAAAGGGCATCTTATTCTGTGTAATGGACGCAGTGCGATTTTTACATTACTTATTCCTGGCCGATGCCTCGCGCTATCACGAGAAAGTACGAAATTCGCAAGAAATGGCGGCGCGGAGATCAAAACGAGTAATCAAAATTCGAATCGTACATGGTTTGATAAATATAGCTGAGTAAAACGGATCTAAGACATGTTGGCGTTGCATTTGCTGTTACTCGAGCATTAAAGGTAAGTATCGTAAAAGTGGGCAAACACGAGACTGATCGGAATTTTTTTTTTGGAAATCCTGGCGTTAAAAGCCGACGCCACTAATATAACAGGAACAAAGGCAACACCTTGCGCTACCTCTGTATGAACTAGCACAATCGTTTGCTCCCTAATGTACCTTTTGTTTGGATAAACTCGAACCGACATTAATCAGGGAGACGAAAGTCTAAACGAAGGCTAATGCTAATGCTAATGATATGAAGGCAGTCATTCAATAATAATTTTGGGATTGCGAATTTGAGTGTAATGAAGGTGGTTAGGCTACGTACCTCATTTGCAACGGTGTTTGTAGGTGGAAAATGAGCATAGCGGTTCGTTGCTAACGCTTCGGTTCGTTAGTCGACTTGAATGATTTATTGTTTAATCTTTATTTGGCGCCATTTTGCTATTATAAATATTCATTAGATTGCTTAGTTTCAATCACGTCACGGTGCATATAGCTGCGTTGGCGCGTTCAGGCATGCGGTAAAAACTCTATCGCCACGTTTTTTATCACGAGGGAAATCAGTTCTAGTGCGAGAAACCGCTTGTAAAACCAAAGTTACAGGACCTAAACGTTTCCCCTCAATTTTGCGAATTGCTGAATTCACGACTAGGAACTAGAGTTTTCCGGCATTGTTCCGCCGCCGCCGTTGCTTCGCGAAGTCAGGGTTTAATATTAAGTGCCGCTTTTTGATAAGTTATGGTTTTTCATTTGCATAATTTTTCAAACCAAACATACGACTTAAATTTTAGACCGTTTTTTTCTGTAAATATAAAATCTAAAAAATCATGACGCGCTTATTTGGTGCATACTGTATTTAGCTTTATGGCGCAAGTTTTGCTTCCACACTCTATAGCTGCGTCTACACGATGAACCTTAACTCGAGTTAAGCGTCTACACGGGGCCTTAACTCGAGTTAAGGTAACTCGAATTACGTTAACTCGAGTTAGCTTAATCTCGCCAGTCGATCAAGGTTAAGCTAACTCGAGTTACCTTAACTCGAGTTAAGGCCCGTGTAGACGCTTAACTCGAGTTAAGGTCCGTGTAGACGCTTAACTCGAGTTAAGGCCCGTGTAGACGCTTAACTCGAGTTAGCTTAACCTCCACGATAGGCGGCAGCACTAGTACGATGTACGTACACACGCACGCACGCACGCGTACTTGCACACGGACGCACGCGTACTTGCACACGCACGCACACACTCATGCACGCACGCACGTGTACGTGGCTACGTGCACACGCATGCACGCACGCACGCACGTGTACGTGCACACGCATGCACGCACGCACGCACGCCTACATGCACATGCACACGCACGCACGCACGCACGCACGCACGCACTAACGTGTACCTGCACACGCGCGCACGCACGCACGTGTACTTGCACACGCACGCACACACTCATGCACGCACGTGTACATGCACACGCACGCACGCACGTGTACGTGCACACGCACGCACACACTCATGCACGCACGTGTACATGCACACGCACGCACGCACGTGTACGTGCACACGCACGCACACACTCATGCACGCACGTGTACATGCACACGCACGCACGCACGTGTACGTGCACACGCACGCACACACTCATGCACGCACGTGTACATGCACACGCACGCACGCACGTGTACGTGCACACGCACGCACACACTCATGCACGCACGTGTACGTGCACATGCACGCACGCACACATGCACGCACATGTACGCACTAACGCATGCACGCACGTGTACGTGCACACGCACGCACGCTCGCACGCACGCACGTGTACGTACACGCGTACGCACGCACGCACGCACGTATACGTGCACACGCACGCACACACGCACACACGCACGCACGTTTACATACACACGCACGCACGCATGCATAATAAATCGGTAATAATCGCTATCGGGTGTTATCGTGTAGACGCTACATAATTGCTAACTCGAGTTTACGCTTAACTCGAGTTAGCTTAACTCGAGTTAAGGTTCGTCGTGTAGACGAGGCTTATGTGGTAATTGGGAAATATTCAAAATTTGTGTTGTCGGATAGTTAGGCGCTGGAAATCTTATGAAAGATTTCGGCTTGAGCCGAAGATATATGAGAAATAGAAATCTTACATATAAATAAAAAGTGTGATCGATATAAGCTGCACTTAGCACGCAGCTACATTACAACATACGCATTCGTTGCTTCTCGCGCACTGGGTCTGAATTATTTACACTTGACTGATTTTATTGCTTCCTAAATTCATTCGAATTATACGTACTTACGTCGTATCGCACATAAAATGAAAATATTCAACCGGCTGTTATATATATATATATATATATATATATATAGTTGTCTATTTATGTATTTATCTATTTATTCATATGAATGTAATATAGAAAGGTTGCATTGCGTTTGTGGAGTAGCAATAAACTCAATTGGGATATTAAACCAAAATGTTACAAACAGATATTGTCAAAAGATGTGGAAAATATAGCCACATGCAAGATTGACAGCTAAAAATCACTTTGTGACGAGGTTAGCTTATGCACACGAAAAAACAGCGCATCTCTCATGTTTATGTAGAATATACAACTTAGTAATACATGAGTGCTGCACTCTCATGTAAGTACGCCCCCACACACACAAATATGCTGCTACGCATGCACACATACACACACATGCGCGCGCGCACATACAAGCTATAGACCAGTATGGTCTTGAATATCCGTTTTTTTGACGATTGGACGCTTTCTCTGAGAAATTCTGAAGCAGCTTGTGAATCAGGCGGGCAATGGAAGCCTTGGCGAGCAGCAGCAAAAGCAACACGAATATCAACAGTAACAGCAGCAGCAGCAGCAACAACAACAACAACAGTAGAGCGGCAGCGGCCGCAACAGGCGCAGCAATAGTAGCACCGGCACTAGCAACAGTAGCGGCCGCAGCAGAAGCATAAGAAATCGCAGCAACATAAAAAGCAGCAGCAACAACAACAACAACAACAACAACAACAACAACAACAACAACAACAACTGGAGCAGCAGGTGCAGTAGTATTAGCACCGGCACCAGTAAAAGTAGCGACGGCGGCAGCGACGCTTACCGTTAATAGCGGGCGGCAGATGGTTAACAACACCATGATTGCCCGCTCTTACCGCCTCACACAGCCACACTCGCCTATCGCTAGCACCTATGAACGACACAGCCTCACAAGTACGAGATGGCGCCAGCGTCGCATTTAATTATGCGACTCCAATAAAAAATTGCATTCCTATTTGGAGGATTACTCAAATTGTCGGCTGTAACATACAGCGCCCACGCATGTAGTGCACCCCACAAGAAGTGGATCCCAGCGGTGAAGGAGGTGGAAGAGGGAAAGTCAAAGGAGGAGACAAGGCGTGAAAGAGAAACCGAGATCGTTATAGTACTAGTAGGAGAAGGCGAATAAAGGGAAGGTGGAATAGCTATAACGTATAGTCACGATGTCTGGGCGTAAATCCCCAAGTCTGTGATTAAGCATCTGATGGTGGATGTCTGCCGTGGTAATTTATTACCCGTGCTTAACTTGTGCGTGTTTAATTTTCCAGCACCTATGCTGCCACTAAATGTTACTAATCCCATAATCGATTTTGCCGACGTTGACATGGATTAAGCCGATACCTGCAAGTGTAGCGAAGAATGAGTAGTACATGATTTATACGTGAAATATGCTAGGAGAGAAAACGTTTTTCAAAAATATAATGTTTTAAACACGCACACAAGCGCGCGCACACACACACACACACGCACACACACACACACACACACACACACACACACACACACACACACACGACACGCACGCACGCACGACACTCACGATCACGCACGCACGACACACACGACACGCACGCACACACACACACACACACACACACACACACACACATATAGGGCCGTCTCTCTCTATATATATATATATATAAAGAGAGAGGGGGAAGGTAACAATAATAATGATTAATGAAATAATTATCTATCTATATAAATATCTATATAAATATAATAAATATCTATATAAATATAATAATCTATATATTTCTGATATTTGCTTGACAATCGCTTTATTTTGGTGCTGCTTCGAAGTCCGCCATGTATATGCATGAGGTATCGTTTGGGATGACGTAATTATCCTGACCTAACCCGATGTGATATTGTTTTTATAGCCTCCCATCCTAGTGATTAACTGCGTGGTTGCAGCGGCAACAGATTTGGAAGCGAAGGATCCGAATGGTAAGCGCTCGTGACTGTGATTGACATAATGAGGCAATGGTCTAATCATGGTTTTGTATGATAGCCGGCTTAAGTTGTGATTTGTGGTTGTATAAGCGATTACTACTCTAGGCTTCAGTTTATGGCAACAGCTCATGAGACCGGTAGCCGTGCTCGAAGTTATAGTGGCTCCAACGAATGGAGAGGCATATATTACGTGTATTTGCGCGTTATCGCTAACTCTCTCGCACCACTCTCTCTATCACTCTCGCACGCGCTTTCTTCCCCTCTATCAAATCTCTCTTATCTGTATCTCAGTCTCTCTCTCTCTCTCTCTCTCTCCCTCTCTTTCTCTCTCCCTCTCGACCCCTCTCTCCCTTGATCTCCACTTTCTCGCCCTTTCTTTCCCTCTCTCGCTATGTCATGTCCTCTATCTTTCTCTCTCGCGTGGAGCGGTAGTACTAGCATGACTACCAACTTATTGCTATCATAAATTGTAGGTAGCGAGTGTTTCTCTATGGATCGTGCTCTAATAGTCGAGAGAAAACGGCATTTAAAAATCTTCATTTTTTGAGTAGGCAATGCCAGACAAAAACACTCATCCAGATAACTTGTTTTTTTTTACCATTTTTTATTACAACCGGCCCTACTCTTCTTGGTTGCAAAAAAAACTGATCTCTTTAGGCATATAATTTATATTTCCAAATGAAATCTGGTCGACGTACACAGGGTAGGAGCGATAACTGGGGTAAATCCGTAATATGAATCATGACATTATTTTACTATTTCTGTACCCAATTATCCACGAATCTGCTAAATTGTACCCGAATGAACGTATGAACATATTCCATGAACATACGTAGTGCCGCGAATATTTCTTGCACTGTTCGGGACGAATAACAGATTAGAGGTATGAGCAGAAACAAATAGTGAGCAATTTGAGGCTAAACTAATAGAGTCGAATAGGGACAAAATAGGTTCAAATGAAAGATACCTACTGTATCTTCTCGAGCAGAGCAAACCTTGACAAATAGCCACTCTTGTACTCGTTCTCGTTTACACTTGGGCAGACACCTTGGTTACAAGTGGTGAGATGGGGTTGTGTGCGTATAACTGGCATTTGACAGGTGCATTTGTTTTCCGGCAGGCTTCAGCGATCCGTATTGCATGCTGGGAGTCGTCCCGGGGAAGGCGATCGAGGAGAGCGCCATCTGTGAGCAGCAGGAACAGGAGAGGAGAGAGGCCGAGGATAAGGAGCAGAAAAAGTCTGGGATCAAGAGGATCACGGGCAGCATCAGGTATGTAATGCACTCAGGTACTATTTTGATAGCGTGCGTTTAGAGAGCGCTATACGTAGTAGTGAGTTGACTTTAGTGTTTAGGGTCGGAGATGCGCGTGTGAGGCTTTAAGTTCGATTACTCGTAGACTCGATACTAGACGCTCAAAACGTCCAACATTTAATCCTGGGACATATGCACAACGGCAGCTAAAACCGCACTGCCGCGCGTTTATTGCTGTTTACGAATATCGGACATCGACAGCTGACGTGCGCGCAGACACCCCCGGTTTCCGTCCCCGAGTATCCGAGGAAATTAAACATTGTTCTACTTACTCGGATGCTCTCTGGCCTGTTGACTAAATTACCGGCTTTCAATTGTATGTCAGTCACCGGTGCAAGCCGAATGAATGTCCCATTCACTGTAACAATTGATCGAGCTTAATACTTATCTTACTACCTTTCCTAATAGATTGCGATAGTCGACAACAAATCATTCGGTGATGCTGGAGTAATTAATAGTCACGCGACCCCCTCACCGCGTATGTGATTGTATATAAGATAAACGCTGCGATAAGCCGAGGCGGAATGAAGTTAGGAGGTGCCTCACGGGTGAAACGGACGAATCAGCGTATAGATCTGTGTGAGACTGTGGCATACCACCCGTGAATACAAGATCAAATTATAATTAACATCACGCACTTCGTGTCTAATTCACGGGTCATTGCAACACCGATGCATATTATCCACCCGCTAATTTTTCATAAATAACTTCTTTTATCTAGCGGAGACGGGTAAATATTTTGTCCTAATACATATATATGTATATATATATATATATATATATATATATATATATATATATATATATATATATATATAATAATAATATAAGGTATTTATGTATATGGGTGATGTGCTGCGCGTTAATGCACGGATGTTTTGGCGCTTCGCGCTAGGGTTTTAGGCGACCTGAATGTATAGCAACTCGTGTTCATGCGTGCAGGCGTCTTCTCTCTTGTGTATTGGCTCATACGTGTTTCTTTCTTCCCGATTTCGACTGCCGCATGAGCACGCGGTGTAAGTGGCGAGGCACTTGTCTGTCAGTGAATCCCCGTGCCAACGTGATCTGCATCTAGATTGATAGATGGATGTTTTCTTGCATTGTAGTAGACCCGCCTCTGATATAGCGCGCATCAGCAAACACCGTTGGCTGGAGTCATGTCGAATGTTTGTTAAGCTGAAATGCTGATTAGGTTCCTCTCTGTATTAGCCGTTAAGTGCAATATGATTAGAGCATTGTACCGTATGCGACAAGTGCTAGCCTCTGTTACAATGTATCCCTATCACATGAGTACATTTTATGCGTACTTTGAGGTGGGAGGCGGTAGTGTTCTGACGATGCTGCAGATGGTGAAATGTAAGTGTTTGGCATTGCGGTGATGTGGTTGGCTACATACTCGGACATAAACAGCCTTTCGATTTGATGACACCATGGTGCTTAATTACCGTGTCCGAAGCTGGTGACTGGATTATCTAAGTGTCAAAACGTTATATTCTAAAACCGTCTTAAGATCCGTCTGCCAGGAAATTAGTGGTGTTCACTTTGTTTCCGATCTGTAAGTGATTCGTCAATATACTGGCTTAGGCTTAGTATTCGTCGTACAATGTTTAACAAACGCCAACGCAGTTTTGTTTAGCACACCGTTGCGTACTTTGCCTTGTCTATATGCAATTATTTTTCTACGAACTGCGAAACACGGTCACGGAATTTATTTTCTATCATTGATTAAATTTATTTTAAACGTTGATCGAGTAACTATAATTACTTCAAATTAGTACTTTATCATTTGGTTACACGCCAACACAATCCGTTGGACTGCTCCACCATTGGTTACAATATAAATTCTATAAACTTTCACCCTAGACTTTTTTTCACCATCAGCATTTGGCTCACATCGGGAGAACCGAGGCATAACTACGAAGTTAACATGATCACCAAATTGTTGAACATGTTATTCATACAAGTGACACGGTAGCAGATAACGACACACTGATTTCTGATCTGAATTGCTTCACTCGCATGGTGTGTGTGTGTGTGCAAATATATATGCGGACCTATATAATATCTGTATCAAGAGCTCTGTATGTATTATGTAATGTGTTGTGTGTGTGTGTGCATGTGCGTGCGTGGCGTGCGTGGCGTGCGTGCGTCGCGTGCGTGGGTGCGTGTTATGCGGCGCGCCGCGCGCGTGTGTGTGTGTGTGTGCTGTGTGTGTGTTGTGTGTGTGGCGCGCGCCGCGTGCGTGTGTGTGTGTGTGTGTGTGCTGTGTGTGTGTGTGTGTGTGTGTCGTGTGTTTGTCGTGTGTGTGTGTGTGTGCATATAGATATATATATATATATAGGGTATATATAATATATATATATATAAAAATAAGAGTACATAATATGGAGAATGTGTAGGGGGATTAATAGGAGTCTCCTATTATGATACTTTGGATATATATATATATATATTATATATATATAATTATATATATAGGCCTATATATATCTGTATGTATGTATGTATGCATGTATGTATTATGTATGTATGTATGTATGCTATGTATGTATCGTATGTATGTATGTATGTATGTATGCTTATGTATGTATGTATGTCATGTATTATGTATGTATGTATCGATGACTTGATGACCCACCGACATCCCACTCACTGCATTTCCACCCGCGCGCCAACGCCACCGACCGGCCCTGCGACCCGCACGCCCCGGCCGCGATTGTCGGTGGGCGGGGCGGCGGGCGGCCCCGGTCGGGGAGTCGCGCCGGCGCGCGCCCCTCCGCGAGCGCGCCCCGGCGGGAGTGCGAGGTCGACTCCGACAGACTAGAACTCGGGACGGATGTGTGTGTCGGGCGCCGCTCGGACGGTAACTGAGTGCAGGTGCGTGCCAGTGCGGTGGGTGGCGCCTGTGTCGGTCGTGTGCTTCAGTTAGAAGGGCGAGGGTTCTGTAAACACACCCACGAGGTGCACAAGGGAAACCGGGGAAGCGCGTGAGGTGGAGGATGACAGGTCTGACTCTGGCTGGAGAGTGGAGAAAGTGTTCGGAAGGGGCTGCTCATCCTGGTCGCTCGTCTGAGGTATGGGAGGTGCGGACGGAGAGGACGACTCCACGAACAGGAGAGCGCAGACCAAAGGATGTTCTTCTCATTTGTCCTGTCAGTGCGGGTGCGGTTGAGAACGATGAGTAGCCGGTCGCATGACGTGTCCGAGTAGGTGTGTATGTGTCATCCACCTTTCACCTGCCCTTACCTCTCCCAACCCCCCTACCCCGGTGTCTCAGCTGCGATAGCCTCGGGAATGCTCCGTCTCGTACTCGTGATGCCTCTCTCCTCCTCCTGCCCTCGCTCCCCGATGCTCTGCCCTTCTTATACGCAACGCTAACCGGGTGCTCGTAACGGGGCGGGTCAACTACGGTTGTGCGGGGCTCTCTTCTCCGTTCTGCGGGGGCTCTTAATCTCTGAAGCTCGCCTCTCCGTCTCGCTCTCGACAAGGAGCCGTCGCAGCTCAGACCGTGCCATCGGCGTCGTGCGCGTGGAGCGTCGGGGCTCGGGTAGCGTCTACTTCCTCGGCCGAGTGCGCGTGCTCTCCGGCTCTCTCACCGCAAAACGCGTTTAGCGCCCGGGTGGGTGCGTGGGCGGCAGGCACTGGAGTCCCTCGCGATCGCGTGAGCGCATAGTCGTACTGGTTGCCAGAGAGTCAATGACAATAATACCGATAATACGCATCAACAATGCGCTCTCGCACGCTCAGCAACCTCGCTCCACCCACACGCCCACACCACATCCACCCCACCCACCCAAAACTCCAACACACAACCACACCACACACACAACACCCAACTCACCAACCCGACACAACACACCACCACCACCAGTACGGAGAGTGCCACCGGCGTGCGTGCGTGGCTACGGCGATGCCGAGTCGGTCGGGGTGTCTGCGGCTACTGTACCGCGTATACGATGGACCGGGCCGGCAGCAGGGGTGTAGGGTCAGTTGGTGCGTAGTTGGGTCTATGCTTGAGTACTGTGTATGCCGGCTAGTCGTAGTAGAGATTTCAGGCGAGAGAGTAGGCAGGCGGGGATGGTGCACCGAAGGAGAATCGGTGGGTCACTGATCTCGGGCTTCTGGACTCAAGGGCTGAGTGTGAGAGAGGACTTTCGTCACTGGCGGGCCGCAGATTAGTGCGATGCTGGGCCGTTCCGAGGCCCATCTCGCGGGAGCTAGCTCGCCACCTTCCTCACCGTGGCTCGCTGGGGCGATAGGACATACGCTGCTGCATCGAACGCGATACTCGCGACCCCCGGTAGGAGGGAAGCCGCGGCGGGGCTTGCTTATCAAGCGGAAAGGGTCCGAGGCATTTAGCGGGAGTGCAGCCATGTGGCCACTCGGCTCTCAGCGAGCGGCTAGTGGACCGCGGGGCGTTGGCTGAGGGACTCACTGGGACGTCGGGCGAGGGCGAGGACTATAAAAGAATACCGCGTCAGGTCGCATCATTACGCTCTCGCCTCTCTCCTCACTAGAGACCGCCCCGCGGGTGCTAGCGTGAGATCCCTTCTAAACGAGATTTCGGGTAAGCAAGTACCAGAGATTCTACATGATTCGGATTTTTTGAGCGGACCCAATACACTCGTCACACGCTACTCACCGATTGAGTGCGTGAATGGAATCCAACCGGCCTCCTCACCGATTCATGAATCGTCGCTCCGCATTTGGACCGGCCACTGCGCGGCAGGGTGCTCGCGCACCCGGCTCGGGTCGGGTCTGGCTACGTCGCATCGTTGGGATGTGAGCCACGGGCCGCAGACGAGACGCCACGCTGCAGCACAGCCGTAAAAGGCGTGAAGGCGTGCGTGCAGCGCGCCGCGGAGCCACAGGGGAAGGCCTACGGCCGGCAAGGCGTACAGGTGCGAAGCGGTGATCAGGAGCGTCGAGGCGCGGCAGAGGGCTGAAGACAGCGTCTGGGCCATGGGAGTAAGTCGGGAAGTGAGCGGTGAGTCGTCGGTGGACTCAGTGAACCCGGTTGCCAGGAAAATGCTCGGCGCACACGGATGTGGCGGCGATCACAGACTGCGGAGCGTAGGGGTGTGGAGGAGGTTTGGGTGGGCGTGGAGTACGGCGGGCGAGGAGTGTGCGAGCGGGAGGTGCGTACGTACCAGTCAGCCGGGACGTTGATTGAGCGTGTGTAAACGCAAGAGCGCCACGGCACGCTCTCGGCGATAGTCTCAGCTCTCACTATCCCGGAAGCAAGCTGGTGCGTGATACGTGTACGCGCTTGGTGGGCCGGATGGAGAGTTGAGTGTGGAGACATGACCTTATCACACGCGATCCTGCCAACTACCTCGGCGATTTTTTCCAAGTTTGACTTTATTGATGCCTACCTATTTTCCGTCGATGACGCATGACGGAAGTAGTGATCGAACGATGTTGAGTGCTGGACTCCTACGCCGCCGGCAGCCATCGAGGACCGCCGGACGGGACCTCATCACCGCTCAGAGACGCAAGGAAAAGCGACAACTTGCTGCGCACGGCCCCGGGCCGGGCTACGCCCGGTCCGGACCGCGAGGATGGCCAGAGACGCAAATGGCGACATCATAACGTGTACATATACTATACGGGCGCTGAGGCTGACACTACTAGTGACTGGATCCTACAGAGATCAGCACGTCCCTGACAGTCACTCGAGCACGGCGCACGACCCGAGGGACGCAGGGAGGAGGCACATCGCTGGCGGACGCACGCGCTGGCGCATGTGTGGCAAGGCGTGAGTGCACACCAACTCTCCGTACGGGCCCGACGCGGGAAGACCGACAGTTGTGGTGGAGCTATCGATGCGGGACCGATGGGAGCGCAGTGTTGCGAGCTCAGGTACGGGCGATGTTATTGTTGTTAGCATTTTCGCATGCTCTAACGAGTGAGATCAGTGCGACGCGCGCGGGGACCTTGTGATGCATGTCGAGTATAGACGTACGCGCGCGGAACGCATGCGGTACTGTGGGTAGTGCAGGTAGTCGTCCGCCGTCGCTAAATAATGACTAAAGCATTTGGTTTTATTTAATATTTATATAAATACCATATTATGGGTAACGGAGCGTTTTGCCATTATTTAGGCGAGGCGAATGGCATAAATACGGTTTCTATAAAGATGAAAGCGCTTCCATTTGTGTAAAACTCTTAAATGTCGATTATTCATTTTTTTAATATAAAACTGAAATATCGTGGGGCAACCTAAGAACTTTTCTACTATAGTATATCATATTGTGATTCCTCTTCTTTAACTGGCAGCGATGGGTGAATGACGCTCATTGTGACGTGCTCATCTTGATATTCTGTAAGTTAGTAGTTATCGGTATTTGGCAAGAATGCGGGTAGTGACTATCTCTTACGATTACCTCAGGAGGAGGTGGGTGACTATAGCTTCCAATACAACATTACATAGCAGTAAAAACCTGAATTGACCTAGCATATGGCGGGCATTCCCCCCACAATGTCACTTACATTACTTAACAGCCATGGCCATTTTCAGTCTAGGCAACGCTTGACTTTTATAATAGCAGATCGTTCACGGTTCCTCTTTACTCTCTCTCTCTCTCGTCGGAGTCGTCTTCGTCTCTCTCTCTCTCTCGCTCTGCTGCTCCTTCTCTCGTCTCTTTCTTCTGCTCTCCTCGGTCTCTCTCCTCGCATCTCGTCTCTCCTCTCTCTCTCTCGAAGCTCGTCTCTCTCGTCTCTCCCTCTCGCTGTCTCTGCGTTGGGTCTCTGCTCTGATGTGGGCTGGCTCCTATTTCTCCGTCCGGCTCGTGGCTTTATGTCTCTATCGATCCGTCTCTCTGCGGTAGCTCGCCTTCTGCCTCTATATACACGCGCACTCCATACGCCACACCGCGACACCCCGACAGACGCCGGCGTCTTGGATAAGGGCGCACACGCGGGCTGTCTGAGCAACGGTAGCGACGCCCGGACGGGGGAGGCCGCCTGGCGTGCGCCCCTGGACCGCCGCGCACGCACACAAAACGTCCGCGCGGGAGCGCAAATGTGAACTCTCTAATAGGTGCATTGGGACAATGCCTGGCTATACACGACATACGTGATTACTGACCGAACTGCCGGGCTGCTTATTGGCGATCTTGTCTGCTCTTTACTCTAGTGCCATGGGGGCTCTGGGAGGCGTCACGGTCGCCCAACCGCCTCGTCCGTGGGTCCATAATCGGGTGCGCTGTTGCCATTGTGTTCAGTTTACCATTCACGCTATGGGCTGACATAATTCCCTAATAAATATATTAAATTTGTTAGACTGCGCTATATGAGAACTTTTCCTTCACTCCGCTCGCGCGCTCTCTCTCTTCTCCTATCTCCTCTCGGCGTTGCAGGCCCGGCGACAACACCAACAGCGTCTCGCGGCCAGTCCTTCTCCGCGCCTTCCTCCATGCTGGGCGGGGTGGCTCCATCTCTCTCTCTCTCTCTCTCTCTCCTCGTCTCTCTCTCCTCTGCTCTCGCTTTCTCGGTGCTCTCATAACTCTCAGATGAGCAGTGGCTACTGAACGAGTGTGCGCGCGCTGAGTGATTCCACATGCGATATTCCTCGCTGCAACTCACCCGTGCCTTGTATTATGGTGCCGTGCTTGCACGAGCTACTCGCCTCGCGATTGCAGTCTTAGCAGGACGGTCATCCCGGCACTGCAGGCACGCTGACGTCACCGGGGTCAGATCTGTCCAGCAACTCGCTGGCTGCTTATCCCTGCATCATGGCTCCTCAACTACTATATGTTTCTATTACTGACCGGTCCGCTGGCTGGCTGCTGTCTACTGCGCGTGGCCGGGTTCGCTGTCCGCCTGCCTCCGCGCGGACAGTGCTGCTGGTATCTGCGCTGAGTAACATTTGACTACCGGGCTGGTGGTTGTATGCTCGTCTGGTGATCGCGACCAGCGGCAGCGCCGCGATGGTGGTTGCTGCTGTTGTAGCTCTGATGTCCGTTGGGCTGCTGGGTGGCGTGCAGCCGGCGGTAGTTTGGTAGGTGGTGTTGGCTGGCTGATGCTTGTGCTGATGTTGTTGCTAAATGTTGCTAGCAGATGCGTGGGCGTGGGCGGCGGCGCCGGGCGGGTGTTGGTGCGATGCTGCTTGGGTTGCTGCTGCTCAGCGTTGCTGCGGCTACTGCAGCATGCGTGAAGTCATGCCGCGTTTCTTGGCGTCCGTCGCGAAGATCAGCTGTTCCAATATGACCCAGCAGATGCCAGTCCGCGTTTGTGTTGTGGCGTCTGTGTACGCCGCGCGGTTGTTGACTGAAGCGAGATCGGGCGCAGCTAAGTTGCGTGGGCCAGCCGTCGTGTCACGCAGCTAGGAATTATAGTTAGCAAGCTCTCTAGCCTGTCGGTGGCCGCTCTCCTCCCTCTGCAATATCTCCTATTCTTGCTTGGCTCTTTAATCATGATCACACTCATTTTCGACGTCGTGTTTTCTTTGCGAGGCTAATCTATCGCCTCTGGCCCGGTAGACCGGGGCGCGTGTCCGTGGCGGGCCTGGGCGGCTGCCAGCGCCGAGCGCCTCTTCTCTCCGCCTCTCTTCTCTCTCTCTCTCCTCCGGCGTGCCTCTCTCCGTCTGCCTATCTCTCTCTATCTCTCTC